GCAGCCGAGTGAACGTGTGATTAGCGTTGCAGGATTGGATCGCACAGATCTAGAACGTGGGCCCTAAGCCCTGTGACTGTGACATTGTGCAGGGGCGGACTCACTCCCTGACTCCTGGCACACAGCCCTTCCTGGGGAGTGTGGATGAAAGGTTAGAGCAACCACACGGAGCCTGGGACATAGTAAGCGCTCAGCAAATGGCAGCCGAGTGAACACTTAGAGGGTGCTCAGTCCGGAGCTCACAGGTCACCAGCTCAGGGGACAGGAGCCGGCAGGACAGAAGGAGGCAGCACGTGATCCTCTGAGGCTGGCCTGGGGCAGGGCAAGCCCACAGCAGAGGTCACATCAGCCCTTGGTGACTCAGGCTGTCAGGAATCCACAGAAAGCCTTCCTGGAAGTGCTCGCAGGCTCGTGTGTCAGGGTCAGGGAGATGGAGACGCCTCTGCAGTGTCCCCAGCTGGGACTCAGCCTCAAGGAACTGTGACACACAGTGGAGGGAGGAGACTGCCTGTGGCCTCCTGAAGCCTGACTAACTGAGCCCTCCTCCTCTGGGAAGCCTTCCTACAACCGCCTCCCGCCTGGGCAGCCCCTCCACCAGCCTGGCCATGGCTAACACCACCAGCAGTCTGGCCATGGCTAACCGGTCACCAGCAGGAAGGACCCTTGGCTGCCCTCCCCAGCACAGCCAGCAGGCGCAGCCTGAAGACACAGCTCCTTTCCAGGCTGAGGCTGCACACCTGTGTTTGCTGCTGGGGCTCATTTTGACAGCACCGCTCAGCTCCTCCATCCACAGCTGGTCCTGGCTTCCACTCCAGTCCCCCTAAAGGCTCCCCTTGAGCTTCCTGCTGCTGTCAGCTCCAGCTGCTCTGCAGGACAACACCGTGCACCTTAAGGTTCCCCCCAAGCACCCCAGCGACTAACCTGTCCTCCCAACTGCGGGGATTCCAAATGGCATGATCACAAACAGATTGAATTTTATTCTCATAGTATTTTATCAGAGCCATTATAGTATTTTCTCTCAGAGCCATCTAAAAAGGAACTGGGATTAAGCAGGCATAGTTGAGCATACCTTCAACCCCAGCACCGTGGGAGGCTGAGGCAGGAGGATCGTAAGTTTCAGCCCAGTCTGAGCAACTTAGTGACTTAGCGAGAACCTAAAAAAAATAGGTGAGGATGTAGTTCAATGCAAAGGCCCTGGATTCAATCCCCAGTACTGCCAAAAAAAGAAGGAAAAAAGGAGCCGGGGTCGGTCTCTTGCTGGTGACTACGGAAAGGGCAGACTTAGTGAGAGGAAACTGGAGGGTTTCCCATGCGGTAGTTGGGGGAGGAAAGCTTCAAGGATGGGGGGCATCGTGCCTGTGAGCCCGGTGACAGCAAAGGACATCCTAGGCAGAGGAAATAGCACGGGCAAAGGTGGAGAAGGTTGGGACAGGATGTGGGGCAGGAGGAGGGGTGAGGTGGGAGGGGAGGGACAGAGACACTGACGACTTCACTGAGGAGCGCAGGCTGTCCCCAGATGTCAGCCAGCATGGAATTCTCTAGAAGGGTGGGATTCGGCATCCCCCGTGGAGAACTCCTCCGAAAGGTGCTGCTTCTGTAAAGACTCGCTCTGACAGGGCCGGGGATTTGGCTCAGTGGTTCCACTGCCTGCTTTCTCAAGCGCAAGGGCCCAAGTTCGATCCCCGGTACCAAAACAAAGATTTGCTCTGACAAAATATAACTACTTGCCAATACCAAGCACACCCGCTTAGTGCTCTGCACGTTGCCTCCTCTCACCCATCCTGCGAGCCTTCCCACTAGGCACAGCTTTCTGATTCCCACTGTCCAGAGAGGGAAAGAAATTTGCCCAAGATCACACAGCTAGCAAGTGGCAGAGCTAGGATTTTAACTCTAGCAACCCGCCTTTGAATTGTCCTGGAGTAAAGAACCTGTTTAACTTTGTTTTGCCAGCATTTCCCAAATTCATGTTTTAAGTGAAAGTAAGGGGAAAAATTGCTCCCCTAATTTAATAACTTCATAAAAGAAAATTGATTCCATGGGCAGTGATGAACTATTAAAGGGTTCTAATCCAACAACATTTTTATGTAATTAACAAATATCACTTGACAGCTTGTTATTGGCCATTTACACTGTAGTAAGCATGAGTTCTTTCTATTTTTTTTTCCTGCCCCCTGAAGACAAGCCCTGTGTCTGATTCACTGCTGTCTCCAGGGCCTAGCAGAGGTGTCAGGAGATGATGCTGTAAGGATGTTCTCTTGAATGAATTGTGATTCTCTGTGGGCGATACAGTAGTGGGGCAAAGGAAAAAAAGGAGTTGAGCAGGTGGGTGGTGGGGTGAGAGTGTCAGGAAAGGAGGTCAGGAGCAGCTGTGGGGTGTTCTGGGAGCCAGAGCGGAGAGCAAGTTGCCCGTCCCTTCATGGCACGGGAAGGACAGGCCTGGACCTTGACTAAAACCCAAACATCTGCTCTGAATGTGTTATCTTCCAGACAAAACCAGCCACCTGCTTAGTTAGAAACCAGGCATTTGCTGGAGTTTGGTTTTAAGAATCAGAGTCAGAGAAAAAATGTCTCCGACTTGTTACCCTCTCCCCTACCAGAGGCTACAGAGAAGGTTTCAGAAGGTGACGGTTGAATGGAAATCTCTTAGCAGACCCCTCACTCATGTCTGTCACTCTAAAAGGGCACGATGTAGACCCTGAGTGGGCAAGGCTGCAGGCCGATATAATGGAGACCAGAATCCAGGTGAGCACTGGCCATGGCTGCCATCTGCGGTCCCTCAGCCCTGGCCTCTCTGTCCTCCATCCCTTCCCCCTTGTCAGGAGGAGGAAGCCTTTGTTCAAACCCACTTCCCCTGGCTGCTCCCTGCTGCCACCTGCTGCCATCTGACTGCCCTAATGGGATTACAGAGCCCCGGTGAAACAGGCAGGGGTTAATTCACTGGCTTTAAAGGGTGGGCCAGGTCCGGAGAAGCTGTGAAAATAAAACCTCCCACCAAAGTGCTGTGTGGTGATCCTAACAGCCCTGGCCCCCATGCAACCTGCTAGAGCTCACAAGTGCTTCACAAGGGTTCTCTGGATGGCATTTATATGAATCCCAAGGCAGCAGATGCTGTTATTCTCTCTGATTTATGGGTGGGGAAACGGAAGCACAATGCGATGAAATGGCTTGTCTAGGGCTGCACCACTAGTAAGTAGGCAAGCTGGGTCTTGAATGAAGAATTCCTGGGTGCCCTTGACTTTAAAAATAATAGCCAGCCTTAACTAGCTGTGGTGGTGCCTGCCTGTAATCCCAGCACTTGGGAGGCTGGGGAAAGTGGATCACAAGTTGGAGACGAGTCTAAACTGTATAGCAAGACCCATTTCATGAGAGGGGGACGAAAAAAAAAGACCCTGAAAGCCCTCAGAGGGTCTGCTTAAAAGAGCCCCAAAGACTGTGCATCAGGTGGGAGACATAGCCCAGGACAAGTACGGTGAGGTCCATGGACCTCCATTCTACAACCACACTGTACTGAGTGCCTCAAGCCCCACACCCTATGTGGAAACTGACTCCACTCCACACACAGCTCTGTCACTGGCTGCTGGAGTTGGTCTCCCTTTTCAGTGCCTGAAGGTGAGATCTGAGGGTGGTTGGTATGGGTCCCTGTAATCATCGAAGGCAAAGCAACCAGAGCAGGCCTGGCACGCTGTGCTCCCTCACTCCTCAGCAGAAGGGTAGGTGAATTCTCCTTACTCTTTGGCATGGTGTTGGGGTTAAATGTACCAACCCAAGGAACCCATGCAATCAATGCTCATTTAATGTTGGTGATCTCTGGGTCCTTATTGCCTGGCCTGCATTTCTTCCTGAAATGAAACGGGGTAAAAATCAAACCAACCAAACAGATGTTCTTCTTCTTCCTCCCCTCAGGTCTGGTCCATTTTCTCATTCAATGAGCAATTAGCTTTGAGAGCCCAACTCCCAGGCCACGTGGCCTGCTCTAATTTCCTGGGCCCTAATCTCTCCCAGCTCCTAATGATGCAGCTGGTAATAGGATTGTGGCTTCCCTCGGGGGCTGCCTCAGGCCATGGCCGTGGGGCTGGCGACTGCTGCTCAGTGAGTCTGGCCACCTGTAAGCCCAGGATCTTGAAATCCCAACCCAGACCCTGTACCCCTGGCTGGCATCTCAGCAGGCCCGGCTCACCATGGTGCTGGGTGCCATCCTCGTGAGAGGCAGGGACGTGTGCCGACGGAACGGACTGCTCATCCTGTCGGTGCTGTCTGTCCTCCTGGGCTGCCTCCTCGGCTTCTTCCTGAGGACCCGGCACCTCTCACCGCAGGTGAGCTCCCCTGGAGCACTTGGGAAGAGGGTGTAGGCCAAAGGGATCTGGGCCTCCCCCATCAGGTGACAGTCATTTTCTCCCAGGCAGGGAGAGGCCTGATTTGAGATGAGAGAGGCAGAGATGAGAACTGTTCTCAACAGAGGAACCTTCAGGATATGATGTTGGCTGGAGGTGGGGTTGGGAGACGGGTGAGGCAGGGTCCCGGCCACGGCAAATGAAGGAGCGTTGCTTGGGGCAGGTCCCTTTCTCTGTGGGAGAGGGTGTTAAAGAGAGAATTGTCTGAACCTTTGTTCAAACGGCAAGAAAGACTATTCAGGACAGGTGTAGAGACCTCCTGTGGGGTCAGATTGAATTCCAAAGGCAACCAGGACAGCTGAGGAGTTACAGCCAACCAGCACAGCGAGGGCTGGTAGATGTGAACCAGCCTGGGAGACATCCAGGGTGGGGAATCAGATAGGAAGAGGAGCGAGGAGGAATTTTCTCAGATGCCGAGGGGGGAACCAAGAGTGAGGGGATTGTTGCTAAATTGGCTCAGCAGGATTTTTTGCTACAATTGCTCTATGCAGGCCTCGGACAAGACCTGGGGGGCAGGTGGCACAGAGGAGCCAGCTACAACCAGGTGGAGGAGAGAGGCTTTGTCAGTGGCCTCTGGGAGATTCCCGATTCCATATGGTTCCTCTTCCTGCAGTGCACTGAAGACAGGTAACGACTGTCTCTTCAGGGGCGCTCCAGCCTTAGTCTTTCATGAAAAGCAAAATATCCCCTCCCTGGGAACAGAGCTATTGTATTTCTCTAACGGGCCTGTTAGGTTCTATAGGCAGAGGAACCTGATCTTTGACTCTGCTTTAAGTGGCTAAGCAAAATCCTCTCTCTCCCTCTCTTCCCTTCTTCCTCTCTCCCTCTGTCCCTCTGTCTGTATCCCTCTTCCGCCTCGGTTGCTCTATCTGTAAAAAGGGGTGGTGGGAGAATATGTCCTCAAGAATTGTTGTGAGGAGTGAACAGCACTGGCCAGGGTTTGACATACAGTAAATGCCTACTGACTGTGACTTTGCCCTCCTTCCTCTGTCTGCCTGTCAGAGTCCTACCTGCATCAAAAACGGTCTCATCTTTCCTATCTTCTAACATCTTCAGACCTATTGACGTCAGAAATGACATGCGGGTTTCATTGGTCTGTTTTGTGGTATGGGGGATTGAACCTAGAACCTTGCAGGCCGTCCCCGGAGTAAGAGTCTTGCCACATGCTCATGCTGTGGGCCTTCACCCCCTGGCAACCCAGCTTCTGGCTTCCTTGCTTCATAGCTGGCACCAGCTATTTATATCAATCTCCACATCTCCCACCAGAGTGGGAATTGCTGAACAACTCCTGGGTTTTCTTGAACCAAAATGTGAGCCTCACATGGTGTCAGGCACAAAGAAACCCTCAACTACGTGCTGAATTAAACTGGCACACACAACCTACAGTGTTTGATTTTCCTCAGTAACAAATATGTGTTTCCTGGTGGAAGACCATTTTATGAAAATAAATTGGAGCGCTTATTATTAAAAGCCAAGCTCCTCTGGGGGCCCCTGTGCCAAAGCTGCCCTGTCCATCTGTTTGGGCCTGCAAATGTGTTCTGGTCTGAATTAACCTGCCGGATAAACTGAAGGAAGGATGCGGAGTTTAGAACAATTATTCCACAGGAATCGGCTTTCTTAGTCTTAGTTTGAAATCCAGGATTTCTCTGTTTGATCTCTTTGCCTGTACTCAGAAACTAAACCCTTCTTCTAACTTTGTGAGCTTATGCAGCAGGCAAAAATCATACACAATTTGGAAAACGGCAGAATGTTCTATTTGTGAAAAAGAGCTTACAGCCTCATAGATTCTATCTTTGGGTGTAAATGTCTCACTAAAAAAATACAGACCATTTGAGACTTCCGGTTAAACTGTGGAGAGTCACAATTGCATCCATTTTTCTGTGCCTTCCTGGAAACCCATCTCTGTGTTCAGAGATGTGTTTGGAGTTGAAAGTTGGCTGGAATTTGTGACCCAAGTAATCAGAGTGCTAGGGCCCTCCTCCTTTCTTTGGTCAAAGGATTCTTCCTGCCTGCCCAAGGAGCTAAAGAAGCCTGATAGAGGGACATTAGGCCCAGCTGTGTGTGCTGGAGAACAGGGAAGTGGCGAGCAACGTGCTTCAAACTAATACCCAGACGTCTGCATTCGGGTGTGGAATCCCCAGCACAGCCTCAGGATAGCTGACCACTCCACTTAGGCACAGCCTCATCCCTCAAAGGGTGGGAGGCCTCTCACTGAAGCCTCAGAGGAAAGCCTACTCTGCTAGGAAGGACAGTCCTCTACCACGCCACCCACCCCCAGTGAAAATGGCAGCTCATATCTAGCACCTGCCTTGAGGGGGTCGGGGTACAAACCCCTCTCACAGGCACAGAAGTCAGTGCTTCACACTTCCCTTGAACGGAAGCCAAAGCCACCAGCAATGTGGGGAAAACTGCAAACTGTGAAAGACAGAAACTAAACAAAGATTCATTATGATTGGCACTAGTTTTTTTAAATAGTTGCAAGTATGAAATGCAACCTGGATAGTGTTTCCAAGTCCATTTGCCAACCTCACCCACATTCTCCCCTCTGGAAAAGGGGCCCCTGTGGGCACTGCCAGAAATAGCAAATTTGCATTAAATTTAAACTTTACAGACAACACACCCAGTTAAATTACTTGCAGATAAACAGTGAAACAGTTTTAAGAACAAATAAAGAATGAATGATTTATTTTCTGAAAATCAAATTTATCCTGGCTTGGTGGTCCCTTCTGCTTCTGCTGTAGCTTTGGCTCCTGGGACCTGTTATTGGGTAACAGCTGATCAGGCCAGGATTGGGGGCCCTGGAAAACTCAGGATAGGCTGGAGCTGGCCAGCAGCTCACAAAGGGGCAGAAGTAAGAACACTGCCCAGTGGGTGTTCTCAGCATCCAAACCAACTTCTCCCTTTCAGCATTCGGGGGAGCAGGTGCAGAGAGTGGACCACTCCCAGTGAGAAACTGGCTCCGGTCTGCTTATGACCCACTCTCTAGACTGGGAACTTTTCCAGAGTTGGAATTGATCTGGTTTTTGTGTCCCCTGCGTGATGCCTGGCAGTGTGGGTTTAGGGAACAGCTCCACCCTCTTCCCACTTACCATCTGCTAGATGAGGTGGTTTTACACCTTGGAGATGTGAGTGAAGGGTTGCAGATGAGGGAGAGCTGTTATCTACAAGGAATACTGAGCATCTGTCTACTCTCCTCTGTGTGCTGCACTTAATGCTTACGTGCATTCTGTTATTGAAACATAGCCGATAGGCTGGGAAGCCAGTTCTCTCTTGCTGGTCTCTGTGCCCATGTGCTAGACGAGCCAGGCTTTGAGGGCTAAAGAACGGAGCACTGAGAACTCTGCACCACCACTGTAACCCGCTCCTGCTGTGTTTTCAGGAGATCAGTTACTTCCAGTTCCCTGGAGAGCTCTTGATGAGGATGCTGAAGATGCTGATCCTGCCGCTGGTGGTCTCCAGGTGAGAGGCAGGTGGGAGGGGCGCGGCTCTCTCCTCCTTGTGAGAGGGAAACTGCTCCCAGGCCAGGAGCACCAGGTAGTGGCACTCGGTGCTCTTTGCAGGAGGCTTTGCAGGCAGCATTCAGGTGGCTCAGAGCTGAGTCCTCTAGGCTTTGCTCAGGAATCTGTCCCTGGCCCACAGCCCATGCTGGGTATTACCTCTTCTTTACACATCCTTGGAGTCAGAAATGGTGAATTTGTCAGGCCACCAATGACCAGCATGGCGCTGTGTCCAAAGCCCTCTCCATGGAGCAGACACCATGGGCCACTCTTGCCCTCTGGGAATGCTCAGCCCACCCCATCTTGCCCTTGCCTGGTCTCTGCCCGTCTCTGTCACTCCACCCCAGTTTCTCCCACTGCTCAGGCCCTACATGTTGCAGGTCCCAAGGCCTCTCCTCCCCTAACCTCATGGCTCTAGTATGGTACAGACCCCACACCTCTCCCACGAGTTCCACAGCTGATTAACCAATGAGCTTTTTGGCAGCTCCCTTGACTGTTTCACAAGCATTTCAGATTCAACATCAGTACCTTGACATTATGCCCAGCAGATGATTCCTTCTGTTTCCTGCTGTCGGTAAGAGGCAGCTCTGTCTACACATCCCCTGGGTTCTCTCCTTTCCTCACCCCACAGCTGGGTCATCAGCAGCATGAGCGGATTCTGCCTCTTCAGGAGAATGTGGCTGGTCCCTCCGCTCAGGCCTGGGGCTGTGGTCCCTGTCCCGGCTCCACAGAGGCCACGTGATCCCATGGGAAACAAAGCCCTGCCATTGATTTACCTTCAGATGCTTCCACAACACCTAAAACAAACCTTCCAGTCGTTCACCTGGCCCAGGGAGGCACAATCCGCCCTGCCTTCTCCCTCGTACATCGCACCCTCATGCCCACCCTCCCTGTAGTTGCCACATGTCTCCTTCTCATCACCTGTCTGCTGCTGCTCTATTCCCTTGGGTTTCAGATCCCAAAGCAGAACAGACATGTTCGCACCTCAGGGCCACCTACATGCTGTTCTTTCTGCCTGGAACACACTTCCCCAACAACATCCTACACCTCTTCCTCCTCTTCCTTTGGATCTCGTTACTCATCATTTCCTAGGAAAGGCCTTTCCCTCACTTGGCACCGTTCTTTCCCCCTCCAGCAGATTCACTCAGTGTTACTCTGTACCTGTAAACTTGCTGCTTGTCTCTTTAACGTCCACTGGACTGGGAGTTTGGTAGTCAGCGATGGCGCCCCATAGACATTCAATTCTGGTGGGTCAGTGCCCAGCCAGTGCCAGGCACGTCGTAGGTACCCCAGACACCCATCAGATGAACTGTTGCATTGGCAGTGTGCTCTGTGCTGTCCCAGGCCTGGTCCCTGCAGTGGCTGAGCGAGGCTTCTCTGCCTCCACAGGCTGGGGTGACACTGGTGAGAAAACGTGGAGTCCTCCACAGCTGAAGTGCAGTGACGGGGGACTCGGGACTCCTGCTGTGTAACTTTGTGCCCCTTTGCCAACGTCTGACCTCAAGGGACCCAGCAGAGGCAGCGCCCCCATGAGTCCCATCCTGACGTTGCCAAGTGTTAGCTGTGTGGCCTTGGGAAGCTGCTTAAGGAAAAGATCCTGTTTGGACATCTGGAGCCTGGGTCCTAGCGCGGCCCCGCCCAGTTGTGTGAGCTGGGCTCTGTGTCCCCGTGACTAAGGGCCCAGCCTGCACTCTCAGACTCTCCCCAGACCAGATCATTTTCTCTGGGCTGGAGCCAGAAGGCCGTATTAACTTGAGAAAAGCCAGTGTGTTCATGTGTTCCATTTGTTTATTATATAGTTTAGGCTGGTGCAGAGCAACTGTGTCCACAAAGAAGGAAGTGCTTGAACATTTTCTAACCAAGGGAAAATTAAACCTTTGTTTAATGATGTGTTTCTGAGCCCCCAGACCTCCTGTCCCTGAACCGTCCCTCCTTGGTTCTCCAACGGGTCTACAGTCTGTCATCCACCCTGCATGGTCACCCCCCAGGAGCACCACACAGGGCAGAGAGTGTTACCTGGCTTTGGCAAATTCCCTTAGGCCTCACCCTGGGCTACAGCAAAGAACCACCAAGGGCTCTCGCAGGGGTGAGTTACAGAGCCCACAAGCGTTCTGGTGGTTTAAGAAAACCTGATCATCTTGGGCTCTGACCTCCACTTCTGCCTGGGTAGCTGAAGAGCTCAGCAGGAAGGAGGCTCCCGGAATCAGGCTGGCCACCTCCTCCATCTCTAGACATGTCACATGCTTTTGGGTCCCCACACATCTTCCCTCAAGCTAACCCACTCTCTCGAATGCCTCTCTCCTCTTCATTTAATTCTAAGTCTCACCCAGGGCTCACCACCCACCTTTAGTGTCTGTCTGGGAGATCCTGCTAGCGCCTCCTTTGTCAGTAACCAGCAATGATGACCTGTTTCCACTGCCATCAACACCTGTAACCTGGATGTGTTTGGTGTCACTGGGTAAATGGACCCTTGGTCACCCCTGGTACATCTCATTGTAAAATAGGCACCTATTTTAAGCACAGTATTGATATCGGAGCAAACAAGGCAGCATTCCTGCCTGGAATAACCATTCCTTTTGCTGAACATAGGGTGGCCCTGCTGAGGGGCGAGGACCAGCCAGCACGACCCCGCCATGGAAAGGGTGGTGTGCGGGATACTGGGAGGCATCAGGTTCGTTTCCTGTGAGTCTCTCATGCTGGCCTCTCCCTGGTGCTTGGGCTCATGGGTTGATGCAGAAGACTGAAGATCTGACAGCAGCAGAGAGGTGATGAGAAGGACACATGTGGCAACTACAGGGAGGGTGGGCATGAGGGAGGAAGGTCCCGGGCCTGCCTCGGTAGGGCGACAGTCACAGAGATGCTCTCTTCTGGGAAGGGAGATCCCGGGGAGAGAGGCGGGGCTGCAGGGGCTGGGCTGGACCCTGGCTCAGCCACTCTTTGCCACACTTCAGCATCTTTTAACCGTTGGGCCTCCTGCTCCCAGAATCTACTCCAGCCCAGCCCCTCACCTGAGCCCTTTCTCTGGCAGGTATGCCGCAGCCCAGCCAAATGCAGCCCAGCCAAATGCAGCCCAGCCACCTCGTCCAGCCGTAGCTTCACGCTCCCATAATCAAGAAGTCTTCCTGAGAATACCAGTAGCTCAAATTTAGCACCTTCCCGGGGGTTGAGGAAGAGAGAGCACAGTTGTGGGCACATCTAGAAGCGTGAGGCCTGCCAGGCTGGTTCACTTTCTCCTGGCGATCTATTGCTATGTGTTATCCCTGCAGACTCGCTGGCGTGGACCGGCCCTTGGATATCATGCGGTGTTCTCTGTGCGTCAGCATTAGGCCTGGTTGAGTTGAATCCTCCTCTCTGTGCCTTGCAAGGTTCCAGGTGTCAAGGTGCCTGGGGGACTCTGCTCTCATCTGCAGGCTCCACCCGGATGAACCAACTTCCAAGCCCCTTTGAGTTGCCAGCAGAAATCATTCCCTTCTGGCTGTTTGCCTGAAGGCCCAGCTTCTTGATGTCTGTCGCTGGAGGTAACTCTGCAGCATGGTCTCAACTTCTTGAAGGCTGGCAGGAGGCTGTCACTCCCTGAGCTGCTAAGACGAAAGTCATAGGAGTGACATCCCAGAAGCTTTGTCATAGCCTCCTGGGAGCAAGTCACAGACTGCCCACACTCCTTGGGGCCACTTTAGACTGTATCTACCTCTTTGTCTCTCCCCTGCCTTCCTTCTCTCTACCTTAGGTCCCAGACCAGCCAGAAATCCTGCCCTCTGTCTCTCTGTCACTCCCACTGTGTGCCTGGAGCAGGGTGGGGTAGGGTACTTTTGGCTTCTAAACAAGAATAGCACCTTGACCACAGAAAGCAACTTCACACCTTCCATCTGATTTCTCATTGCCCAGCTTGGCACCTAGCAGGTGCCCAGTAAATGCTTATTAAATTACAGGCAGAGGGAGGGTAGTTGGAGCAGAGTGCAAGGAAAGGTTCATGGCTAACATTGGTAGGAGGACTAGAGCTTAGAGCTTGTCTTTTAAAGATGTATTTGTACGTTTGCAAATTATGTAAGCAAACTACAAACATTTTAGGTAACAACCCTAATTCTAAAACTGTTATCATTTCTTTTACGTAGATGTTTGTTCTCATTCTTAGTAGTGATTCACCAGGTCTAGGGTGTGGTCCTTTTCTGATTAGCTCAGAAGCATGGCTTCGCTTGGGCCCTAGAGCCAGTCAGGCCAGACCTCTGATTCTGATGTGGGCAGGAGGTAACCAGATACATCAAAATGCCAGCTTACTATTCACAGAGATAAATTCCCTTGCGAGGAGGACAGATGCACACAACCTGTGGCCTGAGCATTACTGCCTGCAGGCTCACCGTGTGGGGGCCCCTCTGGTTAAATCTGTTTGCTGACAAAACCGTTTAGTTATTCAATTGCACAACCAGTGGGCTCAGGTTTGGCCCTTTCTGTTCATGTCCCAGCCCACACCTGGCTGTGTGGTGATGGGCAGGACCTGTGACAGCATGACTGTGCCCTTCAGTCAGGACCCCTGTGCCGTGGGAGGTGCCGGGATGGGCTCCGGCTGGCTGAATGCGCAGCCCTCTCCTCTGCCTATCCCATGTCAATTATTTTATTTTATTTTTGATACGGGGGATCGAAGTCAGGACCTTGCGCTCGCAAGGCAGGCAGCAGCATCACTGAGCTAAATCCCGGCCCTACCCCTTCCTCATTTATATCCAGAGCCCTCCTTTCCCGTCCCCTCCCAGTAAAGCCCCTCACCATACTGTCAGATCTTTTCACTTCTCATTTGTAGACCAGCTCAAAAAATAGTGATAACGTTCTGCTCCTTTAAGTTCTTGGAGGATGCCTTCCCCTTACTGCCCAAGAATGAATCTGCCTCCTGCTTTTTTTGGTTTTCATTCAACATAATGTCATGAGAATTTCCAGGCTGCCCTCTCTCTCTCGCCTTGGGAATCCTGTTTT